GATTGTCAGAGCAAGAAAGGTCAAGAACAGGGCCAACCATTAACCTAAAGTATACATCTTATCACCCACTCATCTCATCTTTTAGCAAATGGGATGGAGTGAGAGGCGTTACATTTTTGTAGCTGAGAACCACATGGTAATGCAGATATAAATATTTGCACGTGTTTAGGAATATGTATAATTACACGGAACAGATTGAAAGTTATTTACAATCAACACGTGTAAATCTATACTCAACAAACTTGCATATGGAACAATCCCCGTTTTTCTTTCATTTCCAAAGACATCTTGCCTTTAAAAGGGATAAAGAACCCGAATTGATTCGCTCGTGTAAAACACCTGCAGATTTAACCACCTATTTCGCCAGTGAAAACACACTGTATTATCCAACAGTGGTATAGTAATAATGTATGCTTATATGCTTAAGCAAACACTCGTATACCCTTGAGATATTTTTTCTTACTTTTTCATTTTAATGCACTTTGTCCCCAGACCCCAGACCCTAACCCCCTCCTCCTCCTCTGGGTTTCGCCTTGGGACGAGAATACACCCCTTAAAACATTTGCTACGCCACCGACTGATCAACATTGCACCTGTTTGTATTGATCATTTTCGGAGGTAAAATTACACGACACTGATGAAACAGCGCCACAGGACTTTTAAACAGACCTAATACTGTCAACTGTCACACACACACCATTCTAGAATAAACTAGATACTTTACTTTCGGAACTCACAAATTTGCAAAAATGTTTTTTTTTTTTTTTCATTTAGATTCAGTAGACATAAAGATGGTTTCATATGATGAGGTTTACAGAACACTGATCCCAAGGCCGTTGTCCTGTATAAGTAAGTGTTTATAAAATTCAATATGGTATGGATCCCTTTTTCACATTTTACAATACCGCTGAGTTTGATTCGGAAAAGTGATGCAGGAAAACATTCTGTGGTTATTTGCTTTTATTTTGGTGTTCTCTATATGTATTAATTCTAAATTTCACGAAAAATTATGGAATTCTAGTTTAAATAAGACAGATAATGTCCTACCAATGTGGTGTTTTTAAGTCTAGGCGGCTAACTCACGGTCCTTGTAGTCATCATTAAGATCGAAGGGAGAGAGATCAATTACATACAACTAGATACAAAATTATCGGATATTAACATTAAGTTCTGTGTGATGTACATCTGATTTAATAACCCGGAAAGACGTAATTGTCAGGTCCTGCACCATTACTGAATGACTGGATCATATCTTTGTATAATTCTCTACATTTCACCCATGGCATTAGACTTCGTCTGAAGCTAGATTTCGTGTAATAAATTAGACTTCGCCCACGTAACTAGACTTCGTCAAAATGACTAGACATTGCCAAACAAACTAAACATAGTCTTATCGAGTAGTCATTGGCTAACAAAGCAGACATGGTTCCATCCGACGGACCAGACTTTACCAACTGAACCAAACATGGCTAGACTTTGTCTAATGGACTAGATGTTGCCATATTGACTAGAATTTGCCCAATTATCAGACTTTGTCCTATGGACTAGACTTTGCCAAAAGGACAAGACTTCGCCTAATGTACTAGACTTTGCCCAATGGACTGGACTTTGCCCCATGTACTAGACTTTGCCAAATGTACTAGGCTTTGCTCAGTGAACTAGCCTTTGCCCCATGTACTAGACTTTGCGAAATGTACTAGACTTTGCCCAATAGACTGGACTTTGCCCCATGTACTAGACTTTGCCAAATGTACTAGACTTTGCCCAATGGACTTGACTTTGCTCCGCGGACTAGACTTTGCTCCGTGGACTAGACTTTGCCCAATTGACTAGGCTTTGCTCAATGGTCTAGGCGCTGTCAGCTGAAGTACCACACTACCATATTTCTCTAGTCTGCAGAATGACACTGAGCGTAAAATAGACTTATGATCTGGACAGATTAGGTCGGTGTCAGTATGATTTAAGTGTGAATAGTCCAGTCTTATTTTCCACAACAAAATGTCATTTCGTGGCTATTTAACCATAACATCATTTCAAATAATATTAGCTTTTGAGAGTTTGATCATTTGAGTTTACACCTCTAAATGAAGGTGACACGTTTCATTGTTCTCGACTCCAGACCACACCAAGTAACATTTTTAGTAAGTTTGGTACAAACCTCCTCCGAGTTCAACTATTGGAATTTAACATACTACAAGAAAGAAATGTAAACAAAATGGCTTAAGTACAAACATGTTCCTCATCCAAATGTCAGGAAAATACCCCGACAAAGAAAAAAAGGCGTGGACGTGTTAGTAAAAACACTAGAACGGCCAAGTTTGCAGACAAGATAACAGTAGGGGGACAATCACTAGCGTGTGTTATATGCATTGACTTCTACATTTCTAACATTTATTTTACCATGAACACAGCTTACCACGTATCCCTGTGAGTGATGATGTACAAGTCAATCCTCGTTGACGAGATGTTTACGGGGAATCACACACTTATGGTTGTCATTGTGTCATTATGTCGTAATGCAGCAATCAAGCTGATGTCATGTTATACATGACCGCGCATTCCCGTGCGGCGCTCTACATTGCACGTGAGGTCGGATAAATTGATGTGCACTAGCTGCTAGATTGTGTAGAAGTGTTTCACCAATTGACATAACAAATATAGCTGTGGGTGTGTATGTGTACACAAACACACTGGGGTAAATGTTACCATGTAAATAAACCACCTTCTGATTAAGTCCCACATCAATCACACACATAATGGGCTGGTAGGTCGGCACACAGTGGCACCATGGACTGTGGTCTTTACATTCCTATATACCTACCATACTAAATGGTATGTTGTCTGTACTTTTAAAGTTTGTTTGTTTGTATGTATGTATGTATGTATGTGTGTGTGTAGGTGTGTGTGTGTGTGTGTGTGTGTGTGTGTGTGTATTTTTTTCATTTATCTGACGGCAAATTCCATAGATTTTATTTGAAGAATTACGACAAATGCTTACATGACCCGCTATTTGAAAGTTATGTGGATTGAACATTCCGATGTATGCAGCTTGAAGCTCAAAACGAACCTGTCTGTGCTGACTTAGTTGTGTCCCTGTGCTTGACACTAAATCTAAAACGTTCTGAATGGTAGACAACGGACCTCCCGCATGCTGTTGAGTGAGGTCTCCTCCATATACTTGATTTCAGCAAATGCTTCATAATGTCGACGTGTCGATTAAAGTGGCGTGCAAACACGTGCTGGATTCCATTTATAGCTCCGTGAAAAGGGTGATAGCACAAGTAATATTTAATACTGATCTATTTATGTAAGTGTCTCATACCAAAACCTATAGTATACATCAAAACCCGTGTACTTAAATCAGGTAGAAGACACCCATTTAAAGAATTCTATCAAAATAAATGCAAATGGTACATTGTTTCTGCACCATCATTCAGAGGACATATCTATTTATTATTCCTGTTAAAAGTGGTAAAAACCACCCATGTATCTGAGGCAACGAGAAATGTCACAAATTATCTGACTAATTGAAAATAATCTACATGCTCCATACAATATGTTATACATTTATATATTCTTTCTTGTAAAGTTATCGTTGTCCTGTCGTATCAGCCTGTTTCTATAGCACCGACTCATGATCCACATATATGTATTTTAACGCTATAGCACACATATGTATTGATCATGGGTCGTAAATTCGTGACAAATCCCTGTGCAAAGAACCACCTTTTAAACTTTGGCAACATTCTTCAGTAAAATCTCTTTCTTACATATTTAGCCTAATGCTGTACCGGTTTTATCTTTATACACATGTATAAGCGGTAGTGTATAGTAATTTCCCTGGTTACTCATTTCTCTAATCTATTCGGCACATGTTCATCAGATTCTGGCCGACGATCATCAAACTCGTTTGTCAAAAGTTGCCTTTTTTTACTGTTCCAAGAGTTTGTGATTTTTCAGGAGCGTTACAATGGTTGCAGTTAATCTGGTTTCTCCCAAGTCGGAGAAGTCAATAATTTTCTTGTGACATGTTGACATCAATCGCGCTCGCCTCATTTGAAGATTTTATCTGATGGTTACAGAAACAATCTACACGGATCCTTTTTGTCTGCTGAAGTCAGACGGACTTCACAAAATGTAACCATATTCGATTACGACAAAGAGGTAGATGCCAAGAAATCCAATTATCAGGCGGTTTTAAGGTGTTACGATAGAATCCATGGAAAATGTCACTATCTGAGCGGAGAGTTGAATATCAGCAGAGTGATTTGAAAACAGATAACGTTCATGAAGACCATGATTTAAAACGAGACAAACTGGTTAAAATCCTATCACTAGATCCGCTCCAAACCTTTTAACGGAAAAGATAGGGAATGAGCGTTAGGTAGTGTTCAGTAATAGTCAGTCAATGGGAGTTTCCCTCACACAAAGTGGACAAAATCGCTAGTTGTACATTTCGCTTATCCAGGTTAACATATATCACAAATGCACATGCGTTATTCATAACGGGTGTTATATATTTACTTTCTGTACTGGTACTTCGGTATGCGTTAGATTGTCTTCCTTAAATGAAGACCGAAACCTATGTTAAATATAAATTAAATAAACACACATATTCACCAATGTATCACCTCTAGTAGCATATGATCGCCTAACTGAGAGCATGTGTAATTCATATAATTTTTTTCCTATACAAGAATTATGTACATCATAAGGATAGTGAATTATTAATGAACTGTATTTCTTAATTATAATTGCCAATTATGTTTTTCAATTGATGTATATCTAGTATGCTCAAGTAATGTTATTGTTAACAATTGTATATGCGTTGATATGTAAATGACTATTATTCTGTTTGTAAAATCTTCAGCTTGGAGGAAATAAAGAGAATAATAATAGTTTATATTCATGGTACGTGTGTAGATATCCACACTGTTCTGGGTAACGATATAACAGTTCAATGATGTTAAAAACAGCAGTGATTATATATAAATACTTACCTTAGTCTGTCGACAGGAAAACGGATTCACGCACTCACTGACCCTACGACGTCTATACTGTTCATAACACTTCACCAAATCAGTGTCGGACACAATAACACAATTCACGCTTCCAAAGTCCAGTAACTGAGGAAATGGAACTCCTGAAGTTCAGTGACGTGAACGCACGTGAGTCATGCTAAACTGTGAATAAAGAAAGGATTCAAAGTTTGGTAAGGGGAACTGTGTACAGCCGCCGGAGCCCGATAGAACATTAGTCGTGCCATATCTCCGATAGTATCGCCAGCCATGCCAAGTTCGTTATGTATGTGTAACATGCAGGGAGGGCGACCAGGAAGTATAACATTGTTATGCCACGGACATATATATATTTATCTCGCTTGGTCTGGCAGACTCAGCAGACTCGCCTTATGCACCCATGGGTTTAAGACAGACCTTTCATCACCTCATATTCTAATGAGTTTACGACAGATTCTGCCTCACCCCGTATACAAACAGGGTGTTGGTTTATAACAGACTTGGCCTCACCCGTATACTTACGGGATTAGACTGACACGCCTTACAGTGTATATGATACCAGAGTTATGGCACACTCCGCCTCATCCGTATTCTAACGGGGTTAGAGCAAACTCGCCTTATATAATACCAGGGTAATGACACAATCAACCTCACCACGTATACTAAGGAGGCTAAGCAGACTCGCCTTAAATACTACCCGGGTTTTGACATACTCATCCTCACCACGTATACTAACGGGGTTAGGTAGACTCGCCTTCAATACTACCAGTGTTATGACATACTCTGCCTCACCTGGTATGCTAACGGAGTTTGGCAGACCTTATATATAACCTTAAATACTACCAGGGTTATGGCATACTCCTCATCCTGTATACTAACGGGGTTAAGCGGACTCGCCTTATATGATACCAGGATTATGGCATACTCAACCTCACCCCGTATACTAACGGGGTTAGGCAGACTCGCCTTATATATAACCAGGGTTATGACACCCCGTATACTAACGGGGTTAGGCAGACGCGCCTCATACACTACCAGGGTTATGACATACCCAACCCCGTATACTCTACCCCGTATACTTACGCGGTTAGGCAGACTCACCTTAAATACTACCAGGGTTGCGGCATACTCAACCTCATCCTGTTTACTAACGGGGTGAATCAGACTCGCCTTATATACTACCAGGGTTATGACATACTCTGCCTCACCCGGTAAGCTAATGGAAATTGGCAGACTGGCCTTATATACTACCAGGGTTATGACATACTCCGCCTCACCCGTATACTCACGGGGTTAGGCAGATTCGCCTTAAATACTGCCCAAAGCTGACATACTTCGCCCTACCCGTATACTAACAGGGCTAGGCAGACTCGCCTTATACACTACCAGGGTGATGACATACTCAACCTCACCCCGTATACTAACGACGCTAAGCAGACTCGCCTTATACACTACCAGGGTTATGACATACTCCGCATCACCCGGTATACTTACAGGGCTAGACAGACTCGTCTTAAGTACTACCAGGGTGATGACATACTCCGCCTCACCCGTATACTAACAGGGCTAGGCAGACTCGCCTTATACACTTCCAGGGTGATGACATACCCAACCTCACCCCGTATACTAACGACGCTAAGCAGACTCGCCGTACTACTGTTATGACAACGTATACTAACGGGGTTAGGCACCACGTATACTAAGGCAGACTCGCCTCTACCAGTGTTTATACACTACCCGGGCCTTATATATTTTGACATACAGACTCGCTTTATACACTACCAGGGATATGACATACGCTGCCTCACCCATATACTAACAGGGTTAGGCAGACTCGCCTTAAATACTACCCGATGTATGACATACTCCGCCTCACCCTGTATACTAAGGAGGCTAAGCAGACTCGCCTTAGACTCGCCTTCAATACTACCAGTGTTATGACATACTCTGCCTCACCTGGTATGCTAACGGAGTTTGGCAGACTGGCCTTATATACTACCCGGATTATGACAAACTCAACCTCACCACGTATACTAACGAGGCTAAGCAGACTCGCCTTAAATACTACCAGGGTTATGACATACGCTGTCTCACCCGTATACTAACGGGGTTAGGCAGACTCGCCTTATATATAACCAGGGTTATGACATACTTAACCTCACCCCGTATACTAACGGGGTTAGGCAGACGCGCCTCATACACTACCAGGGTTATGACATACCCAACCTCACCCCGTATACTTACGCGGTTAGGCAGACTCACCTTAAATACTACCAGGGTTGCGGCATACTCAACCTCATCCTGTTTACTAACGGGGTGAATCAGACTCGCCTTATATACTACCAGGGTTATGACATACTCTGCCTCTCCCGGTAAGCTAATGGAAATTGGCAGACTGGCCTTATATACTACCAGGGTTATGACATACTCCGCCTCACACGTATACTAACGGGGTTAGGCAGACTCGCCTTAAATACTGCCCAAAGCAGACATACTTCGCCTCACCCGTATACTAACAGGGCTAGGCAGACTCGCCTTATACACTACCAGGGTGATGACATACTCAACTTCACCCTGTATACTAACGACGCTAAGCAGACTCACCTTATACACTACCAGGGTTATGACATACTCCGCATCACCCGTTATACTAACAGGGCTAGGCAGACTCGCCTTATACACTACAAGGGTTATGACATACTCTGCCTCACCCGTATACTAACGGGGCTAGGCAGACTTGCCTTATACACTACCAGGGTGATGACATACCCAACCTCACCCCGTATACTAACGAGGCTAAGCAGACTCGCCTTAGTTACTACCCGGGTTATGACATACTCCGCCTCACCCGTATACTAACGGGTTAGGCAGACTCGCCTTAAATACTACCCGATGTATGACATACTCCGCCTCACCCTGTATACTAAGGAGGCTAAGCAGACTCGCCTTAAATACTACCAGTGTTATGGCATACTCATTCTCACCACGTATACTAACGGGGTTAGGCAGACACGCCTTATATACTACCAGGGTTATGACATACTCCGCCTCACCCTGTATACTAACAGGGCTAGACAGACTCGCCTTATACACTACAAGGGTTATGACATACTCTGCCTCAACCGTATACTAACGGGGTTAGGCAGACTCGCCTTATATATTACCAGGGTTATGACATTCTTAACCTAACCCCGTAAACTAACGGTGCTAAGCAGACTTGTCTTTAATACTACCAGGGTTGTGATATACTCCGCTTCACCCGGATACTAAAAGGGAAAGGCAGACTCGCTTTATACACTACCAGGGATATGACATACGCTGCCTCACCCATATACTAACAGGGTTAGGCAGACTCGCCTTAAATACTACCCGGATTATGACAAACTCAACCTCACCACGTATACTAACGAGGCTAAGCAGACTCGCCTTAAATACTACCAGTGTTATGACATACTCTGCCTCACCTGGTATGCTAACGGAGTTTGGCAGACTGGACTTATATACTACCCGGATTATGACAAACTCAACCTCACCACGTATACTAACGAGGCTAAGCAGACTCGCCTTAAATACTACCAGGGTTATCACATACTCCGCCTCACCCGTATACTAACGGGGTTAGGCAGACTCGCCTTATATATAACCAGGGTTATGACATACTTAACCTCACCCCGTATACTAACGAGGTTAGGCAGACGCGCCTCATACACTACCAGGGTTATGACATACCCAACCTCACCCGTATACTTACGCGGTTAGGCAGACTCACCTTAAATACTACCAGGGTTGCGGCATACTCAACCTCATCCTGTTTACTAACGGGGTGAATCAGACTCGCCTTATATACTACCAGGGTTATGACATACTCTGCCTCACCCGGTATGCTAACGGAAATTGGCAGACTGGCCTTATATACTACCAGGGTTATGACATACTCCGCCTCACACGTATACTAACGGGGTTAGGCAGACTCGCCTTAAATACTGCCCAAAGCTGACATACTTCGCCTCACCCGTATACTAACAGTGCTAGGCAGACTCGCCTTATACACTACCAGGGTGATGACATACTCAACCTCACCCCGTATACTAACGACGCTAAGCAGACTCGCCTTATACACTACCAGGGTTATGACATACTCCGCATCACCCGTTATACTAACAGGGCTAGACAGACTCGCCTTATACACTACAAGGGTTATGGCATACTCATTCTCACCACGTATACTAACGGGGTTAGGCAGACACGCCTTATACACTACAAGGGTTATGACATACTCTGCCTCAACCGTATACTAACGGGTTAGGCAGACTCGCCTTATATATTACCAGGGTTAAGACATACTTAACCTCACCCGGTTAACTAACGGGGTTAGGCAGACTCGCCTTAAATACTACCATGGTTAAGACATACTCCGCTTCACCCTGTATACTAACGTGGTTAGGCAGACTCGCCTTATATACTACCAGGGTTATGGCATACTCCCCATCACGCATATACTAACGGGGTTAGGCAGACTCGCCTTATACACTACCAGGGTGTTGACATACTCCGCCTCATCCGGTATATTAACGGGGTTGAGCTGACTCGCCTTTAATACTACCAGGTTTTTGACATACTCACCTCACCACGTATAGTAACGGGGTTAAGCAGACTTGCCTTGAATACAACCATGGTTATGACATATTCAACCTCTTCCCGTATACTAATGGGGTTAAGCAGACTCGCCTCATATACTACCCGGGCTATGACATACTCCGCCTCATCCCGTATACTAACGGGGTTAAGCAGAATCGCCTGAAATACAACCAGGGTAAAGACATACTCCGCTTCACCCTGTATTCTAACGGGGTTAGGCAGACTCGCCTTATATAATACCAGGTTTTTGTCCAGTACGACACGATAGGCTGACTAACTCCGGTGTCCAGATAAAATGGACTGCTCAGCTCGCTTGACATGTACGACAGGTTGACTAATTCAGGTATCTCTATAGGATTAATTGGTAGGATTTTCACGTGATCAGTAAGATGCGATAGGCTGACTATTTCAGATGTCTCCATAAGATTG